AATGTCTACTATTATAAATCTGATCAAATCCTGGGGGAATTTAACATTTTACCTTGGACCTAACAGTACACGCATTCAGATGTATTTCATATTCTTAATATTTTTTATAAATATTATAAATATATATTTATAAACTGAGTATAAATATAAAATTATTGGTTATAGTCTGCATGAATGACATGTTATTTATACTCAGTTCATTCAGACAGTTAAGTCTTTGTAGCAATGAAATGATTCCTTTAGTCATATACTCATTTAACTTCTAAAAATGTTGTTACAGCAGTTCTTTATCTTTAGAATAAACAGTTTTCAATTTATGATTACAAATAATATTTTGGGTGTGAAATCTTAACACTTTAATGAAATATTATTTCTAAAGCAAAGAGGATAGTGCAAGTAATTTATGTCACATAACACTAAACGCCTTCTACGTACAGTATATAGTGCTATAAAGGAGCATTATTGACAACATGAGAGCATTGCAGCTGATGAAAACATAAATGGATTAGAGCCATTATACAGTTTAGACTCCGAACAGTCCTGAAATTCTCAACACATAGTATAGCAAAAAGTAAAACCTGTTGCTCATACATCACAGGTGAGTTTATGTACTGTACAATGTTTTTTTTATATATTTTAAAGGCTGAGTGCAGTCATGCTGAAACTAATTGGGTACTAATAAACAAACACAGGGTAAGAAGTATCCATCTGACATGTTTCCATGGAAACACAAGTTGAAATCAACAAACGTTGATGCTGAATACTGTAATTGCATCTGCTGTGAGTCACTACATTGTATTATATGAAGGATAGTGTGGGCCATCTTTCCCTCCTGGCATGCATACAACTTCAACAAATAATCAAAGAATCAAAGAATGAATGTCCATTCAGCCCCCTGATTGAACAGTGGAGCAAACTGTTGTAGACATAACCACCTGGTGGAAGACAGAATTGGCAAAGGTTTACTCTACAAAACTCAAATTACTGAATTTTACATCAGAGTTTACTGACAAGTTCATCACTTTATAAATATAACACCTCCAGTAACAGTTTCAAGTATAAATAAGTATAATATTTGCTCATTAATTTCACAGCTGTTACATTTGGGGGCACTCTGTGGCATGAGGTTACTCCAAGAGCCAGTCTAACTTCGGTGAACACATCACATTGGATGTACAAGGAGGAAAAATTTAATTCATTTTTACTGCAAGTCAGAAGGTGCAAGCATGATAAAAAAGCTAGAATACTTTATAAACACTCAAGGACTTATTCGTTTCTCTCCAAGATGTCATTTTAACCAATCTCCTGCTCTAAATAGGACATCATTTAACAGCTGTTTTCAAATATGTTGTCCTTACACTTGATTGGCCAAAAGTTGGTTGTCAGGATATCATGGTCACATAGCAGAACATATGACCCAGTATACCTGACCCAGAATAACCACAAATCAAATTTCTTTCCCACCTATACTAAAACTAGCTGACTCCAGACAGCTTGTTAACTTGGGAAACATTTTTAGCAAATACAACATACAAAATACAATGCAGGCTATGCCATGGGGAATCTGAATGAGAAATTGTTCTTTAACTTGAAAAGACATCATTCAAATATTTGTAAAAATACTTCAAGACAAAAGGAGAAATTCACAACTTCAGAATGCTAAAAGGTGTACTGTAAAGATTGCTCTTGATCTTGATTTTGTTCTGGGAACAGTTTGGGATTCTGAAACCATTCCTGAAAGCCACCATTACTCTCTCAAACAAAATATCCAATCACATCTCTTATTTTCCCTACAGTGGCTAGAATTCAAGACCTTAGAAAGTTTGAAACTAAATCTGAAACTTTACTGAAAATGAAAGACTAGCTTTTGAGCAAAATCACAACAAGGTTATCAGGCTTAGAGCCAATTATCACCTTTCTTGAACCACAGCTTTAAACTGTTTTCTCGGCAAAGACGAAAACGAAGTGGTTTTCAAAGGCTTGTCAGATCCATATGTAACAAATTAAAGTGGTATAATTCCATCAAAGAGAGCATGGATACACACATTTGCTAGCATCTGTGGGCTTTCTGAATGTAGCCTTGAGGATGATAAAATGGAAAGATCTGCTTTGCACAATGAGCTCAAGGTACATGCAGCAAAGATCAAGGGAGCTTTGTTTGTGTCAGTTTTCATATGTACAGATGGAACATAAATAATACCTCGTCTCCACTTTCCACTATCCACTTTAAAATGCAACTCACACAGACCATCTTCAGATTTTTCTACATGGGCTCCAAATTGATCTATCAGAATATAGCTTGCTATGTCACACTGAAGGTGTTGACATTCAGAGCCGCTGTTTTACAGATCTTGGGTCCTGAGCTCGATTCCATCTTAGGGTACCTTCTGTGTTGAGTTCTTTCCCATGCCTGTGTTGGTTGTGTCTAAATGCTCCAGTTTCCTCATACTGTCCAAACACGGTGTCTGTTTGGGTAATGCTTTGGATAATTGATTCTCAAAATTTTCTGCTGAATGTGTGTGCCCTACGATGGACTGTTCCAGTGTGTTTCACATCGACCCACTACTAGAGTAAACAGTTACTGAAAACGGACAGGTATTCTCACTTAAAGACTAAATACAACTCGAAAGTGTTTGGGATTACATTTGCATCGATGACGAATAAAGGAAAGCAATGTGACAATCGAAGCGGGGGAAAATGCTTGCTTAGAGATACGAAGTAAATAAAAGACTGACGACATTAATGAGGAGAAAAGTAACATACGGAGAGTTTGCCGGGTGCTTTTTCAGAACCTTAAGATATATTAGTACAATTAGTACTTGCAACATCTTTCCTCTCATTATGATTAGCATGTAACGCATCTTTAATTAGTACTTTTATATATAATATTTTCCGATTATAATAGTCTTAAATATTTTCCTTTTCTTTTTGATGTACAGATATAAAGCCAAGTCTTAATTATAACCGTGTCAACGTTCCTTGTTTTGATTTGCTCCTTTTTATCGTTGTCTGTTTCGAGCTATGTATATTCAAATGCCTTAACAACTTACATTTGCTTACTTTTGTTTCAAATACATCCAGCGCCTTTAGTTTTCTTTGATTTACATAAGCATTTCTGGTCTTTTGTGTATGTATGTGTTCACAATCAGACAGTACACCTTTTATTAAACTGTACATGTACACAAAAAAGCTAAAAAAGTGACAAATGGACGAAAGAAAAGTTTCGTTGGAGACGAACTGTAGTATTAAATTATTACAACATAAAGGTAATAAAATCCTTTAAGACCTTAGGTATAGGGTTCTCTGTGTATATTTGTTTTGAATTTTCTTATTAATAAAATCATTACGAACCCAGAAAACTATAGAACAACTACTGTACTGTACTTCCTATGGCAACTGGGGGAAACGTAAGCGAAAACACTAACAGAAAAACAATCACGAAGCTTTCCTATAAGGAGACTTGAATCTAATTGGCTACTATAATACTGTTTTTAGCAAAAGAAGCCTCTCCTAGTCTCCTAAAAAGTCTATTCAAACCCCTTTTTTGTGAACTCACCGGCTACCATCTCAGCTGCATCCGTTTTTGTGACTCTACACTGTACTACTGCCTGCAGTTCCATGTTTATCCTTATAGGTTACCCCTTCTGTACTTCTGCACCATTTGCTGGAGGCTAGGTTGTCAGATACCCAAACACATCATTACCGAACCTTCTCTGACCACGTTGCATTACATCTCGTCAAATCACAGCAATTCTGCAACACAGCAACACTGTTGAGTCTATGATTCATCCCTGTATTGCTGTACTTTCGACATATTTTATTACGTTTCTTTTGTTTCTCTGTAGAGCAATTTACCTTTATACCTTATGATTCATCTCAGAAATGCAATAATTTCTGTACATGGCATTATGTCTGTAATATTTTTTTTAAAAGAGGGGTAGATATGCACAATATTAGATACGATATTAGGAGTCACCTTGAATAAAGACCTAGTAAATAATAAATTAAAGTCTACATACTGTAGCACTTTCGGGTTCATTCGCAGCCAGCTTGCACAACCTGTAATGTCAGCTGTATGCGTTACAATACTTTAAATTGAACTGATGACAAAGCAAACAACGTACTTACTATACTTCAATCCTTAGTCGATGTTTGCATTTGATCGAATAAAACAATATTACAATTATTAGAAAGAATTTTTAGACTTCACTTTGTTTCACAAACAAATCAGATTTATTTGAGCCGTAAAAATATAATTTAATGAGATTGTTCAGAACGAAAGGTATAGTTTAAAACATTACGAATGTTAAATAGATTTGCTACAATAATTAGATATAAGTGATTTTGGATTAAGAATATATTAATAAACAGGAAACTGGAAATTCTCACATTGGGGTGATGTAACTGGTGCAGTACATTTATTATTGATCATATTTATTTATATATTCGTTTTGTAACCATTAGTAACATTTATTTATGTAAATAATAAAATAGAAAATATACTATAGAAGTTGCAAACGAGATTAAAAATTTATAACATATTCAGGATTGGCCAAGAATCTGTCTGTATCAAGTATCATATTCATTCCTAACACACCAAGATATGTTGCTGCTTTACAAAAAGCCCGGTGAAGAGCAACCACATACACCATTGGGCTTCAAGGGATGCTCTAAACAGGCTAACTGAATCGGTTTTTAGAAATGAAAAGACAAGACAACAAGGAGACCTTATTCAAGTACTCAGATTCAGAAAGTACGGGAGTAGGAAAGTGAGGACTCGAGGCCCTTATTTATAAAAAGAATTGGCTTCACAAGCTACCCAGCTGCGTTGCATAATCTTATGCCATGGCATCTTTCATGAAAGGCTAGGTAGGTGAGATTCTCGAATCAATTTGCTTCCAGAAAGCAAATGTACTAGTTGGACCGAAAAGCCTTCAGTCTTTTGTAAACATTTTTACGTCCTTACGTTCTACAGAATTAGCAGCGAGCATCACCACACCTGTTGCGTCCTGTTTGCAGCAGACACGGAATTGGGAGGGGCGTTAGGACCCGGAATACATTTGTCATCCACGTCTACCAAAGCTGCTTGCAACGGCTACAGCGTTATACAAGGAAGGAAGCATCATGCTGAGGAAACGGCTTGTGTGAGGTATGATGCATCTTACATTTATTTTGGTACAAAGTAGTCCTAGGTGTCAGAAACCTGAGGGCGGAGAATCAATCCACCAGAGGCGTTTGCATTAAAGAAATGTCTTGTCGTGCGTTGTTTGGCGTTTGGTTTCTAGAGGCTCTGGAGACGAAAATGCTTCTGTACTAGGGAGACATGGGCTAGGCAGACACCTGCAAGCAAGATTTCTGAGCCTTCTTTATTGTTGTGTAAGGACTTCGTGTTTTTTAAAAGCTTGTTTGTTGCGTTGTAAGCTCCGTGGACGTTGCTGGTCAGTAGATACTACTATTGAACATATTTTTGTGCACGTTAAATTTATCTTCTTGTTTTCAACAACGTAACAGTTTTAATCATCGTCATCACCATCATCATCGTGTCGGGATAGTATAACTACCTCCCGGTATGGTAATGTCTGTTGGAATATATCCTTTTTCTCAGGGCAGTTATTGGCCTAAGTCCATGTAGCGCTAGCGTACAGTAACTATATGAATTATCGCAAATAAAATAATCAAGGTAGTTATGCAGGAACGGTTTTCTTTTTATTTATATAGTACATATTACTAAGTGTCATATTAAGTTTTAAGCTTTGAAGTTGTGTGCACTGAAAGGTGCAAATAACATGCTAGGCTGTGTTTGAGTTAGACTAGTGAGATTTAAATTGTTGCATCCAGATGAATAACGTTTGAGACAGCCTTTTATCTGCTTGAGCACTTGACTGTGTTTTGTGATTAATATACATCTCAAAATAAGCCTAGATAAAGTAATTAGATGCTAAGGTAATTTAATGGATTCTGTGGTGTTTTTTCTTAATATAATTTTTTTAACAATCTCTTTGAATGTAGTTGATAATGGGGGGAAATGCGAGACTGTTGTGTAAGCGCTCAGAAAAAAAGTTATAACGATATAGTTTTAGCATACATCGATTTTTAGAAATCAACATGCTCATTTAGTTTAATAAAGGTGTGTCACAGTGTAGAATTCAGATCCTCATTTATGCATTCCACAATTTAATCTTTCTGAAATGCATAAGTTTTTTTTGTAAGGGGGAGCTGTTATTCTGTCACTCCCTGTGTAGGGTCTAGTAAAACATCTCCTAGAGCATACACTATAAATTCGTAATATTAAACATTCCGTGATTTATATATTAATTCAGATATGTTACCGTTTTTAACCGTAGAACTGTTTACTTCTGTGGAGGGAAACTTACACTCTTTGCCTTATTCCTCGCGTTAGCAAAGATTTGCGGTACAGCACTCACAACATATCAGAATATCACCGGGGCTGTACCATTGCTACCTGATGACTTCGAGTGTTGGTTTGCATGAAGTCTGCGCGTCTCTCTGTATATCTCCCTGTATCCCAAATATGTTGGGTTTTACATGTTTACATGTTGGGTTTTACTGTCTGTTCAAGGTGTCTATTTGGCCGTGTTGAGGAGGTTTATCCTTGGGTCAGTTTATTCCTGTTACAGCCAGCAAATGCAAATGACTGTGTGACTGTAGTGAAACAGATCCAAGAGACCATAAAAGACCTTCTCAGGTTTGCCTCCTTTCTGCTGTTCTTAATTCTGCAATTTAACTTTGCCCTTTAGTTTTGAGAGGTTTGATGTGTAATTGAAACCAGTGGCGAGGAGAGTGCTGGTTAGAAAATTATTAGCTGTAGATATTCAAATGTTTCGTCTGTTTCCTCTTTCTGCCTTGACCACTTTAGTTTGCAACAACAACAGTTTTTTTTCTGTATGTTTTGATTGTGGTAGGCACCACTTTATAACGCTTTATATCTTTTCTTAAGTTGCTCTCACAGAGTGCGGCTTTCTGTGACATGATTATCTATCCAAGCCTGCATTGCAGTGCCTACAGTACAATGTCGAGCAGTTATTTTATTTAATTTTTTTTTAATTATGATATAATAAAGGTATGGCACATTTTTGAAGGCACAGTGCTACTCCTTTCCTCACCTCACCCTTTTGTGGCTCATCTTTAGTCCTTCAGTGTAATGACTATAAACACACAGCAAAACTAAACCAAAATTGCTTAAATATTAAAAAAAAAACACAGTGAGCTAATATCATCATTCCCTTAATGTCAGCTGCACCTAGATCCTGTTTGCAGTGCTATTTGGGTTAATTTACAAACCCAACATGAGGAGTTCAAATCATTAGAAGTCTCCTAAATGTGTAAATAATTGAAAACCTACCTTTGTGCCAAGTTTCATGTGGGAGTTAATAATTCTGACAGCGGTTTCAGGAAGGATAGCTAGAAGAATACTTGAATACTTTCTTTCCCTTCACTTGATTTTTTTTTAAACAATGAAGAACTGCCTTCTAGATTTCTGAATGGTGGTGCTGTGTTCAAGAAGAGGTAGTGCTACGCTGGATTCAGTCCAGGAAACAGTGACCAGATGTATTTTCGTGGCTAAAGTGCTCCATTGACAGACAAATTCAAGCCACTGACCTTTTCCGGCATCAACAATGGAAAAACGGGGCACAAGTGGAATCTGCAGGAAAGGAGTTGTAAGAGTTTTGAACAAGTTGCTCAGCCATATTGTCATCATGGTTTGTTTTTCCAAACTGTGACCTGTATAAGGTTCTCAAATTACTTAAGTTTTAATAATCGAATGAGGTAGATGGGCCATATGGCCTCCTCTCAAAATACAACCTTTTTATGCTCTTATATGCTTAGGCCATGATGGGTCTATTTATTCTTTATTTGAATGTTGAACATTTATTTGGTGACTGTTCTTTGCCTGTTTCAATCACGTGAGGCTTTTTTTATCTCCATCTGCTGCCATATGTTGTACATTTGTGGCTGTATCCAAATCTTCAAGGTCAAGTTCAAGTGTATTGTCATTACACTCATATACATGGTATATGGTATAACGAAATGCTATTTAGCTAGCTCTCGGACATAAGTAGTACAAAGAGAAAAGAAAAACAACAACAACAATACGATTGTGTAGCAAAAGAAAGACAGAGACAACAGGCAATGTGCAAAAAAAAACAACAACAGGCAATGTGTAAAAAACAACAACAGGCAATGTGCAAAACAACAAAAAGGTAACAGGTTATGTGCAAAAATATGCATCAACAGAATAAAATAAAGGGATAGAAATTATGGGGAGTGAGCTTTTGACATGTATGGTAGAGGTAGATTTTCAATGTGTGTTTGGGTTTTTGGTAAGAAAGAAAGGAAGAAGGCACTGTGAGGTTCAGATCATAGGTGAGAGGTGAGTTGAGAGTGTGTATTCAGCGCTCCAGTACTTGAAACAACTTTTAAATTCAGCTCCTCTTTCCCTGTTCAAGTCGAAATGGAAATTGGAAAGCACTCCAGGCAGGGTTTGACACAACAGCTGAAGCTCTCCTGTGTATTCTAATTCATTTATAAAGAAAGGAAGTTATACGCATGTGTCTTGACAGCATATCAAGTACGGTTTCACCTGGGGCTGTACAGGACAATAGAATTTTCCTACCTGTCCATTTCCCATCAGTGAGTAATGTTTTGAAATATAATTCCAAGTGAAATCCTTTGAAGTCAGGCTACATGTTAAAAAAAGCTGACTTTACAATGAGATAAACAGAATTGTAGGGGCAAGACATTCTTATTTTATTAAATTCCTTCTTCCCTTGCAGCTGTTGACTAATAAAATTCAGTAGTGTCATGGGTCTAGGTAAAGGAAAAGCTGCCTTGCTTAGTATTTATGAAGTTGAGACCTTCGGAACCTGGGGGAAATGTCATCGTTTTGAAAAATATGAAGCAATTATAAAAAAAAACATTATAGATATTTTATTCTCTCTTATTTTTTTGAAAGGAGAAGTTCATATTGACTGTAGTGTTTTGTGTTCTTCCTGTTTTTTAGCTAATGATTTTTTTTAGGGTGAATAGATAAAAGGAACAATAATAGTTTGAAAGAACGGCAACTACATTAAAGAGCTCATGCGTCAGTGTGGAGTCTGCTGGGTGCTTCGGTTTCTTCCCACCTGCCGAAACATGCAAGATGTGGAATGTTGCATCAGTTGAAAAATTGGCCTTTATGGATGTTTAAAGAGGCTGTGAGGGGGTTGTTCAGTATTCTCAACTGGAATCTATGGGACATAGAACTAATTGAACATGATGGGCTGAGTGGCCTCCTCTGATTTCACAAGTGTGTTTTTTTTTATGAACAATTGCATATACAGTAACAGAGACTAAGTCTTCTAAGATAATTGGTATGCATTGTAGCTATGGTTCATTAGATTCAGCGCAAGAATATGACTGTTGTTTCATTGGTTGAAAGGTAGTTAGTAATCTTGTACACATTCAGATGTTTAATATATTGCATAAATGTATAGATTGGATGTAATTCTGCCAAAATGGCAGAAGCTGGATGGAATAAACATTTCGTATAAAGGTGTAAGTCTGTACTAAAGACGTGTTGCCACAAGCACTTCATTTTATGATTTTTGCTGCAAAGAACTTCTTGTAGTATGTTCGTAAGGAGGATTGGTGGTATCATGAATATGGTTATAATGATTATACAGTGTACATGAGTGACACCTGTGCCAATATCTATTCCATGCTCTGTTGTAATAACCATCTGCAAGACCTAGGGTCTTTGTGCCCACTCACTGTAGTGAGGGCAGTACTCACTATAACTCAGTTTTGGTCTTGAATGGTTGAGTTAAACTAGTGTAGGTATAGAAGCAAAACTATTAGTGATTAATGAAAATTCGCATCCTATAGTTTAGGAAACAGAAAAGCTGTAGCTGAAACAGAAAAACCTTTTGTTAAAAGCACTTTAATGTATTTTTAAAATATTCTCCTATTTTTGTAATAACTTAGTTTCAAGAGAATGTATGCCAATACAAACAGCAACAGATTTGTATGTTTCACAAGGTTTTTTCTAAGCATATTGAACTATTTATGGACACAGTATAGCTCACGTAATCAGGCTGTTTGTTATTGATGCCAGATTCTGGTACCCACTGAAGTAATAGGTCCTCCTCT